GAGGTTGCTATGAGTCAGAACTGACTTGGTGGCACACAACCTCCACCAGCACCATTGCTTCAATTAAGAATAATTCATAAACTTTCAATGAGCATAGAAGCCAGATTCTAAATTTGCCTGGCTTAGAATATACCCAGAAAAATAAATTGACTCTTTCCTGGAGTGGGAGGCTAAGCAAAAGGCAAACTACACATAGTCAAGGCAGCTACAATATTAAAAAAATAATTGGTAACAATTGGAATCCCATAGGGGACGTAATGAAGAATGCATTGTTGATACATTGAATAGTCTTCTAGCTTAGAGACTGGTAAACATTTTTCTATAGAAGATTATTTAGCAAGTGTTTTAGACCATAAAGGGCATATGATCTGTCGTGAACTACTTAATTCTGCCATTATAATGCAAAAGCAGCCATAGAGAAATAAATGCAATATAGAAATGAATGGAAATAAACAGACATCTGTGTTACAATAAAACTTAATTTACAGAAACAGACATTGGGCCTGATTTTGCCCACGAGTCCTAGTTTGCCAGATCCCTGCTGTGATTGATCAGAGTATGAATGAGAAGTCTGAAAACTAGTGACATTTCCAAATATATATATATATACACACACATACATATTTGGTTGACATTGCAGGATAAACACTGGACCACAAGGTCAGTTTGAACTGCAAGGTCAGCTGTTCAAACCCACCAGCTGCTGCTCTTTGGAAACCTTCTACAGGGGCACTATGAATCAGTTCAGTTTGATGACATTTTGCAACATATTGTTGTTGTTGTAAAGTGCCATTGAGTCAGTTCTGGTTTATAGCGACCCTGTATAAGGTTTCTGAGGTATGTTGGTGGGTTTGAACCACTGACCTTGTGGTAAGCAGAGTAGTGCGTGTACTACAGAAACACACCAGGACTTACATGGACCGTTTTTTCTACAGTGGTACTGACTCCACGGAACCTAACAACAACAACACACAAAAAGATCACATTTGTGTAAGAAACACAAATGGATTACTACACTTGTCTGTCATAAATAGGTTTAACTTGGTAGGATTTTTACATAAATGCAATTTTAAATACTTTCATGAATTTAACTTTATCTATTAGTTAGTAACTCTTTAAAGAAAGAGATTATCAAGAACTCTAAAGGGTCTGAGATTTTACCCTACTTGCTAGCTAATATGTTATCCTAGCATTTATGGATGTTGGGAGAAGACATGGAATTCCTGAGTTGGGTCAAAGGACTTCATTATTATTGACACTAGCACTAGTGAGTGTATTAGCATTATCTTGTGCTATTTCCCTCACCCTAGTTCCCATAAGGAGAAGCAAAGAGACCAGGTAAAACCTGTACATAGTAGGTTACAAGAAGAAACCTGAGTCTAGGGAACCCAATCTTTACAATGGGTAGTACAATCATTTGCTCTCTTACTCCAAAGAAAGCAATGTCTTTGTTACTCTGGACAGTAAGCAAACCTTCCCTTTGCTCTAGAGAAAGAAACTTCCTCTATTTTCTAAGGCTGTTAGTCATACAAACATTCTTTAAAAATAAACCAGGAGAAAAACAAGATGTAGAAGAACACACAACATGAAGAAATATATAAAACCCACTGAGAATTGTTTCCCAGAAACAGTGATATCATTTCACACAGAAGAGTCAATGTTTCCTTCATGAATGGATTCCAAATGAACCTGCAATAACATTTACAAATAATGTTAAAGAAGTGTTTAATGATGATGTTGTTGTTTGTTGTTAGGAGCCATCTAGTCAGAACTGACTCATAGTGACCTTATACTCAACAGAACAATACACTGCCTGGTCCTGCAACATCCTCACAAACATTGCTACACTTGAGCCCATTGCTGCTGCCATTGTGTCAATCCTTCTTATTAGGAGTCTTCTTTTCGCTGACACTCCACTTTTCCAAACATGATGTCCTTCT